CGTCGCTAAAAACCCCGTCTTGTTTGCTATATTTTCCTGTAGTGACTTGCACCTTACACTTACACTTTTTGTGTAAGTGGCACATGGTGTGCACTTGCACACTTAAGAAAACTCCTTTACATACATACAGATATATTACTTTGGGAACTTTAATCTTTTTTATGATCTTAAATTTATTACATTTGCTTTAAATATGTTTTAAAAATTTGTTTTGAAAAACATGTTTGAACCTGCATTTAACCTTTTAAACCTATGAAATTGCTAAAAAAAATATTTTAATTTCATCTAATATTATTTTCGATATAACAAGCCCGTGTCCAAAATAAAGTATTTTATTTTTAATTTTTGCATGCATTAATACATAACAAATCTTCTAATATTTCACCCCTAAAAGTAAATTTTTATATTTCTGCCCTACAGATGTTTTAAAGGGTTGAAATCATTTGAGTTGTTTTGTTAAATAACTTAAATATGTCTTAATCAATACATAAATATATCAAAAATGTTAGGAACCATAAAAATGTATATCCCCAATTTTAGTTTGAAAGTGAGTATATGTTGTAAATTTAAAGTTAGTAAGATGCAGATATACATGCAATGAATTTTATAAAAAATATGTAATATTATTATAAATATATACATGTTATATATGTGCATAAAAGTATAAGAAAAATGTTTGAGAGTACTAATTAGTGCTCCCACTAATTAGGTGGCAGTGGGTCCTGTCATTAATGATGTGATGTTTTAATTTTAGAGTTGTATTTTTTTTTTTATATTTTTTTAATGCATTAGTATTATTAGTGGTGACATTTTTAATGGGATGAATCATTTTTGAAAGTATAAAGGAGAGGGTGAACTGGTTGTTTAGGTAGGGAACTATAGGTAGGGACAGCTACATATGATGAATGGTAACATAAAAACAGTGAAAGGCATTCTCTTTTTTCTATTCTTTTGACAAAAGTGGTGATAGAATGTCTTGAAGATATTTATGAGGTGTTTTCAATTGATAAATCGATTTATATCTTATAAAATTGATATGTCTTTTTAAATTTGTAACATATATTGTTCAAATGCGTTATAAAACAAATTTTATAGACCAACTTTGCTCGAGCTCATTTCTTCACTTAAAAAACCAAATATGTCCTTTGTTGTTTTAATAACTTGTATTTTGGTGTTTCGAGAATTTACATCTCAGTTTTTATGGCAATTATAAAATTAAATAAGTTTTGTCCAAGGGATTGACAAACCAAACTACAAATGGAGAGGGGAATCTAAACCCTAAATGAATATAAACTTATTTTTTCATTTTTTTTCATTTTTTATTTAGAAAATATTTGAGAGCCACAATTTTTGTGGCCACAATGGCTCAAAACTGCCAAAACGACGACGTTTGGACAGTTTTGAGCTATTGCGACCACAAAAATTATGACCCTCTAACATTGTTGTTTTTATTTCTACAAGTTCATGATAAACACAGCTTTAAAGATGTTTCAAAACGTCAAAATCATTGGATTTATTACACAAGTTAAATATGTCTTAATCAATCCCATAAATATATACATTTTTATACATGTATACAAAAGTATATAGGGAGGGTGAAGTGGTTGTTTAGGTAGGGAACTTACATATATTTATAGGGACAGCTACATAAATATATGATGAATGGTAACATATATAAAAGTGAACCCGGTTCCCCTCTTTTTGGGGGGGGGGGGGGGGGGTTACCTTTTTCACTCATTACAACCACGCTCCACACTGTTATATATACGAAACCAGTGTGAAATTTCTCTTTTTTACTAATTATTATTAAGATATGACACTTCTTGTAAAGACCAGGCATGTCAAAATGGGTCTTATTATGAGGACACCAAGAAATAGGATGAGCATTAACATTATGTGCAATGTGTTAGAATTTCCCTATCCATAGCAAAATATATTCAAAGGCTTAAAAGCTTTGACTTGAATTTCTCTATCCATAGCAAAAAATTATTCAAAACTTGTCGTGCACTTGTTATTGATACCCTTTCTGTCAATGTGATTATGATGTAATTTTAACAAACACTTACAATTCAATAAACATTTATGTGACAATTTGGTAACAAGTAAATAACTTACAAACACTATCCCTCTTTTAATGAGTCTAATTTTTTTTTTTTAAATTGAAGTCTCGTTTCGCAATATCACTTTTTAGTCTAAGCTTAAAAGTCATTAAAAAAATCAAAAAGTCAACAATCCATACCAAAAAGTTAAAGATTTCATTTTCTTTTTACTTTTTGAAGTTAGTGTTATAAGAAACTGTGATTGCATCATGGAAGTTTTGAATGAATTTTGTGAAATTTCGGGTCAGAAAATTAATCTTCAAAAGTCCAAACTCTTTGTATCCTCTAATATCCCTAGGAGTGAGGCCCTGTATCTGAGCTACCAAAGTGGTATCGGCCTTATTCATGACCTTGGTAAATACCTAAGCACTCATGTTCTGCACAGTAGAATTAGTAGAAACCAAGTTAAAGACATCATAGTGAAGATCACTAACAGACTTTCTGGGTGGAAGGTCAATAACCTCTCTCTTGCAAGTCGTATTACCCTAGTGCAATCTGTTACCTCTGCTATTCCTTACCACCTCATGCAAACCATGGAAATTCCCAGGTCTGTTTGTGACAAAATAGATAGCTTAAACAGAAATTTCATCTGGGACAGCACTAATACTGTCAAGAAAGTTCATCTTCTGAACTGGAATCAAGTCTGTAAGAGTAAAAAACATGGTGGGTTGGACATTAGAAAATCTAGGGACCAAAACTCCACCTTAGTCTCTAAATTGGGATGGAAACTTGCTAGTAATGCTGATAACCTTTGGTGCAAAATCCTTCATTCCAAATATCTTCAACACCACTCCATTTCCAATTGGCCCAAAAAGAGGACTGCTTCCCTCACATGGAAAAGTATAATCAATAATAGAAAAGTTCTAGAGGATAATATCAAATGGAATGTGGGAGATGAGGAGAAAATTTCTCTATGGACTCACTGGTGGTGTGGCACTCAGTCACTGTGTAAAAGTTATCAAGGGTCTCATATTGATAATATTATGAAAGTTAGCTCGATAATTGATGAAGAAGGTCAATGGGATCTGAATCCTATCCAGCATCTGCTCACCCAACAGGATAAAAATAACATCCTTAGCATCTATAGACCCAGATTTGTGACTTTCATGGACACACCTTCCTGGTGGCAAGGGACTATTAATGGCAATTTCTCCTCTCCAACAGCCTATAATGCTATCACTAAATAGGATGAAGATGGGTTAGACTGGCAGTGGATATGGAAAATTAAAGCCCCTCAAAAGCTCAAATGTTTCCTTTGGCTGTCCATGCATGGTAGGTTACTCACAAACCAGATGAGACTCACCAGAAATCTCACAAATTCTGATATCTGCCAGAGGTGCCAAGGCTATACAGAAGATATGTCACACCTTCTCAGAGGATGCATCAAAGCTAAATCCATTTGGCTAAATCTGCAACATCTCAACTGGTAGCAAGAAGAACATAGGAAGGCATTACCTGTTTGGCTACAATCGAACATGAAAAGCCCAAGTAAGATGGCTGGTTTGCAATGGCCAACAATTTTCTTAACTACCATCTGGTATATCTGAAAAAGACAGGAATAAGAAGGTGTTTAAACACCACATTCAACCAGCTTCCATCTGTACAACACAGATTCTCCAGCAAGCAAAACAGATTCAGGAAGCCTTCCAAAACCCCCTTCATCCTACCTATTCTGAACCAAGACTAACTAATTGGCTTGCTCCCCTTGCAGGTAAACTAAAGCTGAACACTGATGGTTGTTCCAAAGGAGATCGTGGCCAATCTGGATATGGAGGTTTGTTGAGGGATGAAACAGGTACCTGGCTATGGGGCTACTATGGTTATCTAGAGAACTGCACCAGCTTGGAGGCCGAACTCTGGGGTCTCTACAAAAGTCTTACAATCACAATGCAAAAAGGGTTGGCCAACATAGACATAGAGACTGATTCTCAAATTGCAATGAAGCTTATCCCAGGAAGGAGCTGATAGAACCTTTCCATACATAGCTCTGATCGAGGATGCCAACTTCATGTTACGAAGATGTAACTGCAACATCCAGTACATCCCAAGAGAAGCAAACTTATGTGCTGATGCTCTAGCCAATCTTGGAATCAACCAAAATGAACATCTGGTGTTTTTTGATGAATCACCCAGCTCTATCTTTTCCTTTCTTATAGCAAACATAGTTTCCGCCAACTCTAAGAGGGTCTAATCCCCTCTATTTATATGAACTCTATCTTCCCTGTTTTACTTTCATTTGAATGAAAAAAAAAAACAAAGAAGTTAGTGTTATAGGTCTATAATTTAAGAAATTTATTAATATTAAATTTTGAATTTTTATTTCTAAAATCATAGTATTACTCGTATAATAATTCACAACACAGCTAAAAATTGTTCCAAAAAAGACGTATATCCACAAGCCAAGAAATATTGGACATCCATGCGATCAAAAAGGTTAAAAACAAGACATATTATTCTGTTCAAACTCAAAGGATCAAAAGTATACACACATGATTCAAAACTTGTCTTTAAAATTACTTTAGCCTAATTTTTTTTTAATTTTTAATTTATTTTAAATTATATTACCTTTCATATTTTTTTATACATATTTTAAAAAAAATCAAAAAAATTTAAAAAATCACCTTTTAACAATCCTCTCAAAATATTTCATTATAAAAATGTCCACCGTATTAGGTCCGTACATTTACATGTATAATAGTTTTTCATTTCATTTCCAAGCTCACTCTCTCTCCTCTCACAAAAACCCCTTTAAATTCCACCAAGGATCCTCTAGAGTGAAATTTCTCTAAAATTTCCTAAAGTGTTACAGTGTATGGTTGAGATTTATTGGCAAGTCACATCAGAAAAATTGATGTGACTTGCCAGTAAATCTCAACCATACACTGTAGCACTTTAGGAAACTTTAGGAAAAAACTCTTTAAATTCTCTCTCCTCCACATCCACCAAAAGCTCAAACCCCATGGAAGGAGACTCACCACCCTTCTGGCCCCAACCCACCACCGCCCTCCTCCACCGCCGCCGCTCCTCGCCTCCGATTCTCAACCCGGTGGTGCTCATCATACTCATCCCAATCCTTGCTTTACTCATCATTTTCTTCTTAATCCCTTTACTTCTCTCTCACACCTCTCACATCTTCAGACCCAATTCAGTGAAGAAAAGTTGGGACTCATTCAACATCTTGCTCGTTCTTTTTGCGATTCTCTGTGGCGTTTTCGCCAGAAAAAACGACGATGGATCGAACGGCACTGATGAGAGAAGCAGTACTAATGTTGGTGCTTCGAATGCTTCGTTCGATGTTGATAAATCTGAGCCGTCGGGGACGAGTCAGTGGTTTGAGTATTCTGATCGGAAGGTGTATAGTTCTCCGGCTATGGCCGGAGCTGGCCGGTTGAGGCGGAGCTGTAGCTCGTACCCGGATCTGAGGCAAGTGCCGGTGTCGGACCCTGGCGACAGTTCGTTTCGGTTTTTTGATGATTTTGAATTGAACTTGTATCGATCGACGCCGGCGTCGGAGGCGTCGGAGTATAGTAGCCGCCGTGAGTGGCGGAGCGAGGTGGAGAGAGATGAATCGAATGTTAAGGTTATTCCGGTGGATAAATTTGTAGATACGATGGGGACAGAGACTCCGCGGCCGAAGTCACCGGCGCCGCCACCTCCTACGCCGCCTCCGCCACCGGTGAGGAGATCGTTTCAAAGTGTTGCGCGTGAAAGCCGATCGCCGCCGACTACTTCTCCTCCTCCGCCACCGCAGCCGGTGTTGAATGGATTGGAGGAGAGGAAGATGAGCAGAGCTGATCGGAAAAGGAGTGGCACTGCGAAGGAAATATCGGCGGAGGTACCTAATTCTTTGGATAGTCGGAGAAAGCGAAAGAGGAAGGTGAAAACAAGGAACATTTACGATAATTCGCATCAATCTCCACCTTCTATGCATTCAGTGCCACCACCATCGCCGCCGCCTCCTCCGCCGTCGGCGTTCCATAACCTGTTTAGAAAAGGAACGAAAAGTAAGCGAGTTCACTCCGTTTCAGCTCCACCACCTCCACCACCGCCACCTCCTCCACGGCGTTCAATGTTCAATAACATCTTCAAAACTGGAAGCAAAAGTAAGCGGTTTCAGTCAGTGTCTAGTAGTACTCCTCCGCCGCCTCCTCCGCCACCACCGTCGTCGATCTTCAACAATATTTTCAAAACTGGTAGCAAAAGTAAGCTTTTTCATTCAGTTTCTACACCTCCTCCGCCGCCACCGCCACCGCCACCGCCACCGCCTCCATCATCGAGACGAACTAGCCAGACTCAATTTCAGTCAGATTCTACTCCTCCGCCACCACCGCCGCCGCCACCGCCACCGCCGCTGCCGCCGCCGTCATCTATCTTCAACAATATTTTCAAATCCGGTAGCAAAAGTAAGCTTTTTCATTCACCTTCTACTCCCTCTACTCCTCCACCACCTCCTCCCTCATCAAGACGAACGAGCCAAACTCGACCTCCACCGCCGCCACGTCCTCCGCCGCCGCCTCCACCTGACTCTTCAAGGCGGCGAAACTCAACCACCACCGGCCGGCCGCCGTTGCCGACAAAGGTGGATCACAATGTGAACAGCGGCGGTCAGTCGCCACTGATTCCTCCGCCGCCTCCGCCGCCACCGTTTAGAATGCCAGAGGTGAAGTTTGTTGCCCGTGGTGATTTTGTTAGGATACGGAGCGCCCATAGCTCTCGGTGTAGTTCTCCGGAATTAGAAGACGTTGATTTCTCATCAACGAAATTCACATCGTACCCGATGGGCGGTGGAGATTCGTTGGGCCCAGTAACATGTCCAAGCCCAGATGTGAACACAAAGGCTGATACATTCATTGCTAGACTGAAAGATGGATGGAGATTAGAGAAGATGAATTCACAAAGAGAGAGAGTTCAAATATGGGCTCATGCCCAGGCCCAATTCCAAGCCCAAGCCCAATCCCAGTCCCAGATATGAACATTATCACCTATATGGAATCTTCTGTCTCAAAATTTTTTTATCTTGTTCTCAAAATATTTATAGCCGTTAGATTATGTGTTGAAATTTTTAAAATTCTCACATGATCTGACTTTTTGAGACAGATTGACAGAAAATACTTCTTTTATTACTTTTCAGTTGGGTTGAGCATTTCTTCACTCACACACCTAATTTACCTCAATTTCGAGTGATATACAGTATATAAAGATATATATATATATATATATAGGTAGATGAAAAGTGTGAATGGGAATGGGCTCTAATTGTGTTTTTTGATCCCTATCGGAGACCCATTTCAGCTGTAGAGGATATGAGTTTGGACTTTGTGTGTTCATGTTTGAAATTGTTTGGTGATACGGCACGTCATGGAGAGTGTTGATATTGGGATTTGTCTCCAATTGGGTTTTTTTGGTTCCCCTTTTTGGAGTCTTTCCTACTTTGTCAATGAGTTTGATTTCTGGTTGAAATGTCTGATTTCAGATTTAAAAAAAATAAAAATGAAAATATTATGTTTATGGTATGTTAATGTTATTTGCACTAGAATTTCAGTTGTGTCATTTGCTTCCTTAATGTTTCCTTTATTCTCTTTAATTTTTGTGTTAATGCTTGAATTTTTAATTTCTAGGATTTGTTAATGTGTGTCGTTAAAGATATGAAAGCTTAAAAAATTATACATTTTGCAAGAAATAAGTATTATAAAAATGTACGAAATATAATTTTTTAAACCTTAACAAAACATTAATTTTGGGGGAGAGGAACAAACAATAAAATAAAAAAAAGAGAGAACACAAATTTTACTTCATTTTTTTATTGTCATTGACTTTTATATATCAACAAATTAATACTAGTGGTACTTCCCAAAAAATACTGAAAATTTACATTAACCGTTAAATTGATTGATTATATATGTATTGTTATGTGTTCATCAATGTATTTTATTTTATTTTTTGAGAGAGATATAAAGTATTTATATTAAAATAAAAGTAAACAACATATAAAGGGTCAAACAAGTAACCTAACAAGAATTACAAACAATAAAATACAAAACCGTAAAGAAAAAAAATGATCTTCGAAAAATCATTGATCTTCTAACAGTTTTGGTTTAGAATAGTATGAAAGAGGAATAGTATGGAAGGAGGATTAAAAGAAAAAAGAACCATTATGGGTATCAAAAATTCAAAAATCTATACCGAAATCAAAAGAAAAACTCTTGAAACTCCTCTTCCTAGCCATAAAAAACCTAGATCTACACCTTGAAAGAGTTTTGGAAGCTCGCCAGAGACATGCTGAAAAGTCGTCGAAAATCACTTAGAGAGAGGGTCTCCAACGCCACTTCCGCGTTTTGTGTTCATCAATGTAGTTCACAGAAGGGACTGAGCAAAATAAGTTGAAATGGATAGCTGCATCGTTTAGCGCTGAGAAATTTATCAATGCTTTCGGGTGGTTGGCGAAATGTTGCTGTTTGGTGGATTTTATTTGAGTTACTTGTTTATTTTGTAAAAATTAATTTTAGATGGGTTTTCGATTGTTTTTAGTAATTTTTTTCCTATATTATAGTCAGATGCACCTAATAGTAAAATAAATTGACTACAATATGAAGAGAAAAAAACCATGAAAAATAAACAAAAACTCGTCTAAAATTAGAAGTGTTTACCAAAATTAAATGCTAATATTTTTGATTTTTATGATAAATATTATTAAGTGTGGGACAAAATAGAAACCTAATAAAGCAACTCATAGAAAATCATAATAAAGATAGGAGTACTTGATATTGGACAAGAGATATTAAAAATAACAATCTAATGTTTGGTTAATTAATACCTATCAGTGGGCTTTATAGACAGAGAAGCAACAGCTAACTCCATGAAATTTGGTGGACCTTGACAACAACCCTAACACTTTTTTTTTTTTTGTTATAAAGGAAAAGGCCTTATATGCACTTGCAGACTTAGAAGTTCCAATGCATGCCAATGGAGTGCCCTTTTTAAATAAATAATTAATGAATAAACTATATTTTCAACAGCAACAAAACTTCCTCGGTTTGCTTCGATTCCACAATTAGTTCTTTACAAAAAATAAAAAATAATTTAATAAAAAATAAGCACTAAAAATATATTTTTTATTTTTTAAAGTTTATTTCGTCCTAACAAAATTTAAAGTCATTTAAAAATTATGAGTGTTTTTATTTATTATTTTTTTTACAAAATTAGTTTTTATTTGTTTTTTTATTTTAAAAAACAAATCTAAAAAAATCAAACCAAACAGAATCTATTCAAAGAGATACTAATCCCGATGATATTTCACTGGACAAAAAATGTTGTCCAAATTATGAAATTAAATAAATAAATTTATGAAGAAATTAAAATTATATACCAAGAACATATGTTGATAATTACAACTAAATTTCAACAGAAATACACAAAATAATAAAATGGTAAAGAAACCAAACCGAAGCCTGCACGGTAACAGTTTCCTTAAAACAGATTTTGCCGCCTCACGGGTCGAGTGCTTGAGGAATCCCGGCGTCTGTCTCCCAGGATACGACAGTTAAAACCAGCTACGGCAGAAGCACTCTCTGTCTAGCTTAGCGAACAAAAACAGTGGCAGCACTCTCTCACAATAGGAACTTTCTGGCAAACTGACTTATAAAATGGAAGCAAAAATTTCTATATTGAGACTTGACAGGAGAGTCTCAATTTATACATGTATAGGGGAGAGAGGAAGAGCCACCAGCCTTTATGGCTGGTCATTAAAACCCCATTAACCAGGATCCATAACTCCTTTCCAGAAAGATAAAAAGTTTGGATGTCCAATGGGTTCACACCCTTTAGTCAAGAAAAAAGATTTAAATACCCTTAAAATCTCATTCATAAATCTAACATCATAAGACAATTTCTTGGCAATTTCTTATTCAAATCTCAATGATTTGTGGCCCACTTGGACCCAACACATAGATGGTTGAGACCTACTTTAATATTTAATTAAAGTCACCATGCTTTAATATTAAATTAAAGTCACCAAAAAATCATTTTTTCCAACAAAAAGTTATTTAAATAACTAATTTCGTATTTATAAAATGAGTGTAAGTAATACGAGAATACGCAAATGGATGTGTGGAAATATTAGTAAAAGAATATATATTTTGTGAAATGATAAAAATAGCATCAATTGAAAATAATTAAAAGAGAAGAGGGTTAAATGATTTTGTTATATATAATAAAAACCTATAGATACAAAGGTAAGGAGAAATGATATGATCACCAATTATAAAAATGTTATGAGGAACGGAAGACTTGACATAAATCATGTTTGTTTGGACGGACTAAATAAGGAGGAATTATAATTCATCAAATTGATAATCCTAGGATACATACTATTTGGTTAAAAATTATGTATATCCCATGTTTGTTTAGTCTTGAAATTAGATGTCAGGAAATAACTATTCTATTAAATCTTATGTATGTTTGATATATTATGAAGAGAATAAAAGCTCAAAAAAACTATTTTGCCCTTTTGAATTGTTTAGTAAATAATAACAATATTAAATCTGACTTATAAATTTAATTTAATTTTTGCCTAAAACTTCTACAAAATTAAATAAATATAACATTAATAAAAATTAAATAAATTTATTTTATTTTTTAATTGAGACTTTTAAATTTTATTTTATTTTACTAAGTGCAATACATAACATTAAAAAGAGTATCAACAAAAATTACAAGTGTTAAAATCTTAATTACATATGCAATAGAAAGCCAAAATTCCCAACACAATGGATTCATCAAATGTCCTAATGCAAATTACAATTAATTATTCAACAACAATAGAAATTCAAATGGACCATATCATAAGAAAATAATTTCTAAATTTTTTGAAAAAATAGAACTAGTTTGACAAAAATAAATATCAAAAAGATATTTTTGAATTTTTAAATTTTATTTTTTATTTTTTTATTTTTATCATGAAACTAATTTTTAGTTTTTTAAAAAAAATTATGAAACAAATTTCTAGAAACTAAACCAAACATGGCCTAAATACTTGAAGGACAAAAATGTTATTTTACCAGCTAATCTAAAGGACGGCTAGTCCAACACTTTTGTATCTTACCCCTCTCCCTAGGACAAGATAGTCTCATATATGGGACGACTAATAGTCTGGTTAGATTATTAGTCAAGCTTACAATTTTTCAATCAAACAACGGATTAGGTGAGATATTAGGCATAGAGTTCAATCCTACACTCCAATCCCTCCAAACAATCAGTTAAAATAGTTAAACTTAACTGGGAAAAAAAAAGGGCATATAATAACCCTCAACAGAACAAAATATTAAAAAATATATTGATATAATCGGTCCTTAAAAAAATAAAAAATAAAAACTTTTATTTTGGGTCATTTTTTGATAAATCCACATTCTAGTACTTGTGTTCCATTTAGTCTATAGCTTTTTCCAACTTACCAAAGCACCCCTACCCATACATAGGATGTGTTTTGGGTTTCAAAATATCTCGCACCAAATATAGGAATTGTTGCTTGATTTTTGGAGAAAATCCCGCATAAACTGAAACTCTCATCCATCATGTTCTACTTCGTGTCCTCCATTGTCTTCATCTACAGGTCGCTGTCACTAGGTCATCAGCGACCGAAGCCCCCTCTCTGTTGTGAACCATTTCTCGTTGTGAATTTTTACATTGGAACAACACAAGAGAATACCAATTGCTTCACAATGGGAACCAAACATAAGTGAAATTTTTTCTTTTTGTATTATCGTCAAACCCTAACTATCCACGTGAATTTTTTTCACAAATCTTGATTTCAAAAACGACATTGTTTATATTCATATTGTTGTTATTTTGAAAATCAGCCACATTATTTCTGTATCAAATAGTATAGATATTATCGATCGATATGAAATACAAATTGTTTGTATTATTAGAAACTAGTAAGATACAAATTGATTGATTAGTATATAATCAGATTGAGTTGCTTTGTTTGTCCATTTGTTTAATTCTGTTATATATTGCTAATTTTTTGTACTAGAAATTATTGTGAAATTCACATTATGCTTATGTTCATATGACCATTGTAACCCACTTCCCAAATGTAGTTATCCGAACTTTTGTGGTGTTTTCTTATATGAATGTTAACATTAACATTATTATTAATGAGGTTGTTGATCCAAGGGAGTGAGATTGGGCCGACCCACGCTTCCAACACCTTTCACCGGTCTCGGAGCTCGCTGGTGGTGCCTGCAAAAAGGTCCAACAGGGAATGGGAGTCCTCCAGTGGACCCTTCGACAATCAAGTTAGAGAAGAGGAGATTGACTGTGTAGAGAGAGAGAGAGAGAGAGAGAGAGAGAGAGAGAGAGAGAGAGAGAGAAAGAGAAGAAGAAGAAGAATGGAGAACTTAACCTTTGATGTGTCTTGGAAACCTCCTTATATCCTTTGTCCATCATTTCCTTGTCCACTCTGACCTGTCGTGTTGGTCGAAAGTCTATACTCTAGCTTACATTGTTCA